ACAACTCTAAAACAAAACGGGATACAAAGTTATTCACCAAAAGAGATAAGTATCATTGATGAAGGGACATATAACTACCCTTACTCTCTATATATATATATATCTATATATATATCTATATATATATATCTATATATATATATATCTATATATATATATATCTATATATATAAAACATGTACATCAACAAAAAGAAAAAGTAACCAAAATAAGAGCTTTAAATATCAACCAACTTCTTTGAGCTCGACAATCCTACATCAGACCCTTACTTCTTTCTATCCTTCCTGTAAAAGAAATCAACATCTAAGAGGTTAAGCATAAAGATTAGTGAGTTCATAGGGAAACATTTGAATATTATGATGTATACATACACATACACAAAGGAATCACAGGAACGAACTCAAGTAACATATATGTGTATACAAAGGCTTTCTGAATCAATAAACTCATGAATCAATATTTTTCAAGACAACAAAAACTGATTATGGCAATTTCAACATTTCGTATGTCGAAGATATCATGATTTTGTGTTACATTAAGTAAATAAATAACCTAACATAACAGCCACTAAGGCATAATATCCAGCCACTAAGGCATATTATATATATATATATATATATATATATATATAATAGGGGTACAAGCATATAAGAAAAGTATATATACACATATGCACACATAGTATACAAAATGTTTTTGAACGAACTCACATTGCTACTCAATACTCCAAGCTATGAGCAATTCCTAAAATGGTAGAAATAAACCACCACAAGCTTTCAATACCTTCAATTATGACCCTGGAATATACATTTCAGATATCATAAGCAATTACTCAAGCAATCCCAAGATATACCCTTTTCAATTTAATAATTCTACTTTTAATTTCTTTGTACAACAACATGTTCATACCCATATTTTCCCATTTTAAACTCAGAATTATCCAATGACTTCTAAAGATGAAATAAAATAGATTCTTATATCTTTCTAATGCCACTGACCACACATTTTTTATGATTTTTGTGTGATTTATTACAGATTTTACAAGACAGCAGCAGCAAGCTGTCAAAACTCAGCTTTACAGCTGAGAACATATCGCACCTTTTACCCATCTTAAAGTTGAAATCAGCTTCCGATGTCTAAAATAAAAAAACAAACTAGACATTTCCACCTTTTCAACGAAATTGATATCATACTCATACGATTTTTCTACAATTTTATATGAATTTTATATATCAAAGCTGTCAATGAACCTTACTAACTCAATTCATCAATAATCTTGCAATACCATGATCAATTCCTTATAATTCAATTCCAAACTTCATAATAACATTAACTTGGTAAGACCTTCAGAAATTTTGTGATTAACAAACATCTTAACATAATTTTCCACCATTAACATGTCTAATACAAGCTCCTTCATGAATTCCATACTTAATACTTATAATTAATCCATGTTTTCTTCAAGATAACAAGATATTAACCAACATATAACWTTAATCTTACAAAATTAACCACTAATCACAAACATGCAAACCCTAATATCCTTAATTAACACTAATTACAAAGATTAAACTTAGTATTAGAAGCATACCTTCAATAATCTTCACATAAACATCAAGAATTCATCCATTTGARCTTTGATTCTTCAAGAATTGAATGTGTTTGGGCTTATGTGTGTGAAAATCGCACCTTGAGTGTGTGTGAGGGTTTTAGAAGTGATTTGGGGAAAATAAGATCAATTTTCATCCATTTTGTCACTTAAACCCGATTGGGCCGGATTTGGCCCGGTTGAGGCCCATTTGACTACCAAACACTAAAAAAATCATAACTTTTTCTCGGACCTTCATTTTCGATGAGGTTTTTGCCTATGCAATCGTAATAAGATAATCTATAATTTTCAATAAAAATATTTCAGAAAAGATCTTCCAATTAAAACAGTTTTACGTATGTTACATTTGAGTTTTATAAAACTAGCTCATAAGCAACTGATAAACATGTTCAAATACAAAATAAATTGAGTCCTGTTAATACGAGCCAAATACTTCATAAAATTTGATGATGATAAGAGACTACAACTTTCTCTCAAAACCATATTAATTCACAAAATAGAAATCTAAAAACACAAAATAAAAGTATATTACACTGTATTGTGCAAGTTCTAGAGGTGTCAAATTGATACCATGACAAACCAACCAATTTCATTATTGATAACTATGAATTGTAAGTGTTCACACAGTGCGCACAAAATTCCCGCAGTGGCGGTGCAAGTGCACTCCAACACTATGATCGCTACAAGTAATAAAATGGTATAGTAACAAGATCATTTCCACAGGGATTGGACTACTGAGAATCATAGAGTTCCAACTTCTTGAGCACGTTTCGGTTGTGAGTAAAAATCAAGTTTTTGTTGGTAAAAATACTTAAAAGACAAGAAAAACGTTTTAATTAAAAGATGGATATGTGTGTAAGGTTTTCTTAAGGCTATTGTAGGAACAAGATGGTTAAAAGCTCATGGGACTTCTATAAACACTCCAATATCTCGAAAGTAAGTTTTCATATACTGTGCCTATAAAGTTCCCATTATCATAAATTTTAAGCTTGCCAAATTAGCTAAGTGATAAAAAAGATATATGGTTCCACTGGTCTGAAGATTTATACTCAAATCTCTTTGTAGTGTAAATCTGAACTAATATTTGAACCTTAGCTAAAAACATGCAAAATCCGTATCTCTACATAATTATGAAAGATTTTCTCAAATCTTTGTGTAACACTTAAGGCATATTTCAAATCCGTCCGTTTCTGGATCAAGGATCTAATATCAAACTTTAAAGTGATTGGTTTATCCATATTGAGTTTAAGTCTAAACTTTAAGTGGCCAAAAGCTTAAGAATTAGTAACATTAGCAACACCCAAGTGTGCCTACTAGTCTTAAGTTTGACCCAAACCTACACCCAAAAGGGGTGATTAGATCATAATAAAACTAAAGAACATAGAAGAAGTAGAGAACTACATAGAAATACTTGTATTAAACTTTAACTAAAAGTGTAGCCACAGTGGACAAACGTTGGACAGAAACGTACTTGAAATTAAATACAAGACAAGAAGTTAATGCAAAAAATTGAATTCTAACTAGTGATCCAAATCTTCAAGTTGAGAGTAAATGCTTGAAGGAAGTGTGTCTTCAGTGCTTCCATGATGCTTTTATTTATAGGGGGAAATGGAAGAAATGGACATCTCTTTTACCCAAAGAAAATAAACAACCTTCATACTTTAGGACAAAAGGTTTCCTTCCTTTTTTTTCTTGTAAGGTCTTCTAAATTTGCTTGTCACTTTTGAAAGGATGCAAAAGGGAGAGATGTACATCCCCTTGACCCAAGGGAAAAAAGTACTTTAAGCCACTTTTTAGACAAAAAAGGTCTCTTTCTTTGGATCTTATGATATCTCCGTATTAGACTCCAGTTTTAAATTCTTTTAAGTATCCAGAAAATAGGGTGCTTAACCTTATCCAAATCTGCCTAAAAAATTATCACATTGGTCAGGAAGTGGGAAGGTAGTGGGCACTTCCAACAGTGATGATTTTTTGGAATAAAAATCAAACCCTTGACATTTCATCACCTCTTAAGAACATTTTACATAAAAAGTATCAGATATAGACAAAATGGGTACATAAAAGACATAAAAATAAGAGTATTGAACAATAAATAACTCTCAAAATTGAGAGTTGCCAATTTACCAACTATACAATTAATATGATACCAACTAAATTGGTTGATAGTACCGTACCAACTTCATAAACTTAGTTGATACGTGGTATTGAAAATCGTCTACCACGGTAATACCGTAGCGTACCAATTTATGTATATAACTATTTACTAAATAAAAAAATCAATTAAGTGAAATATATTTAATTATTAAGGCATCTATCTGGTTCTTTTTTATAGAGGAATTCATCAATTTAACATTTAATCATTTAGTGTTTAGTACATTACTTACTCCTCCATAGCTTCTCATAACAACCCAACTCATTGCTTAGTAACTCCTCGTCTCATCTCCTCAATGAATGCCTCCAGCCTCCATAACCACACTTCCATCATTCGACAACCAACGACTATACGATCTACACCTCTACACGTTGTTTGAATGCTTTTGTTGCATTACTTTATATTGGACAACATGTTATTTACATATTTGGACAATGACATGTTGTTATTTACTCATTTGGACATGTTTTTTTTTTCACTTTCGTGGACAACAAGTTTTTATTTAGTTATTTGGACGACATGTTATGTTAATAAGTTTGTAACTTCAACTTTTAAGATGTTTGTACAAAACCGTACCAATCGAAAAAAGTTGATACCAACTAAAGTTGATTGTTACATGATATAAATATTTATATATTAATTATAATTAGTTGGTACATAATATTAAAAAAAACCGTGATACCACATCATATTCATCCCTAACAACTTCGGTATGGTCTTAGGGGTTGTTTGTTTACGTCTTAATAGTTTCATTAAGAGACAACCTCTGTATCGTTAAGAGGTGAATCTTGTTCGGCAAAAAAAAGTCTGTCTTTTAATATTTCTAAAATTCTCTGAATGATTTTGTATCATGCATCCCCTTAACCATTAAGAGCCCTGATTTTATTATACAATTATCAAACAATTATATTTTATTTTACACTATATTATAAGAGTTTCTTAATCATTCTGATCATTTAATCATTTTACACCAAAATATTTAGTAATTGTCAAACAACCCCATAGAAAAAGAATGAAAAGTTAGTTAGCTTAATTTTAATGGTTTTATTGAAGCTAAGACCAAGTACAACGACCAAACATCCCATGGAACATGTCGCACGTGATAGGACACATGATCTATGGCTTTCACCGTATATCCTTGATCCGACGGCTCAAAATCGTTTAACATCAAATGCAATCGCCACATCATAAATTACCTCTTTCTCGGGCCATTGTAAAGCTATTACATCCCCTTTTCGATTTGTCCCTGAATCCACAGCTTGATTACTAGATTAGGGTTCTTGATCTTGATCCGTTAAACCCTAAATCCCCAACTTTTTTGCACTAATCTTCACTGCCTGGATCTCTGAAAATTGGGGTTATTGACATTTTTTTCTAACTCGTACTATCTCCCTGATTCCTACTTATTTTTTCGCTAGGGCATTCGTTTTTGATCTTGTTCCGTGGGATGATCACACGCATATATTGAATTAATCGGCTGTGTAGATGGATTTCGATGGAGGAAAGCGAGTTTTTAATAGATTAGGGCCACCTCAGCAGCAGAGCGATAATAGAAATCAGAAAGTATGTTACCACTGGAGAGCGGGGAACTGCAATCGGTTTCCTTGCCCTTTTTTACACAGGGAGTTGTCGGCGCCGGCTAATGGAACGGCGTCGTCCAAGAGGCCTTATGGTTTTGCGACGGATGATCAACGATCGACGACGGCACGGAGAGGTGGTGGTTCTAATTTTAACGGTCCATCATCATGGGGACGGGGCGGTGGACGAGGAGGGAACGCTATAAATAATAATAATAATAGTAATAGAGGAATCGTTGTCAAGAAGACAGAAAAGATATGCAACTTTTGGGTACAAGGCAATTGTAGTTACGGGGATAAGTGCAGGTATTTGCATTCATGGTGTACCGGCAGTTGTTTCGCCATGCTAACTCAGCTGGAAGGCCACCAGAAGGTATAGTTGGGGTCGAATTTGAAGCCCTTTTTGTAGCGATATGTCCGTGGTATTGGCTTCATTGCGTGCTTTACCTTTCGGTCTTTGCATTACATTACAATATTGTATTATTGTTTAATTTTACAGGTTGTTAGTGGCATTGCACTACCAGCTGGGTCTGATAAGCTGTACACGGGGAGTAAAGACGAAACCGTGAGGGTTTGGGATTGCCAATCTGGACAGGTTGCTATATGTTTACGACTGTTATATTATATGAGCGTGTAGTTTATGCTAATATATGACTTTGTCAGGAAACCTAGCCATCGATTTGTTTCAATTTTTGCTTTCTTTGTTTGATCAAATGGAGAATATTGGAATTCAATCACATAGTGTGCTCCTTTTGGTTTCGTTGTAGTGTGCAGGGGTTATTAATTTGGGCGGTGAAGTGGGCTGTATGCTCAGTGAAGGGCCATGGATGTTTGTGGGTCTACCAAATCTTGTCAAGGTAATTCTGGAAACTATTTCATTTCTTTGTTGTTTTTAAGCAACATTATGTTCTAATTACTTGAATCAGTTGGGTTTAACTGGATCTACCACTTCGTTATTGTTAAAACAACATAGGCATGGAATGTGCAAACATCTGCGGATCTTAGTCTTAATGGACCTGTTGGACAGGTGTATTCTCTGGTTGTAGGCAATGATTTACTCTTTGCGGGTACACAGGTAATTTCTTGGATAATGAGCTACTTGATTAATGATGATCTGTTTGCTAGTTTACAATTTGTGCGTTCCTTATTCCGTATTCTGTGAGAGCCACATCCTTGCACTATTATTGTATACATGGCCTTGTTGTGGAGTTGCTAATTGCAAATGTGGCCTCTCATAATTGGCTCATGTTTATTGCAGATTTTTACTCTTGGATCCTTTTACTCGTTGATGTTGGCATCAGTTACTAGTTGTTATCTCTTTTTGCTTTTAGTTAACTTTTTTGTTTATTAGAAAATGTAAGCCTTGCTGCAGGATGGCAATATATTGGCATGGAAGTTTAACGCTGTCACCAACTGCTTTGAACCAGCTGCATCACTTCAAGGGCATACTTCAGCTGTTGTGACACTAGTTGTTGGAGCTAATAGATTATACTCTGGTTCCATGGACAAATCTATACGGGTGAGTTTGCTTTGATACTAATCTACACTAGTTGTTGGAACTAATACCCAAGGTTCTCTTTTATCAGTTCTGACTCTTTCGTCTGCATGATTTTCTTTCAGGTTTGGAACCTTGAAAATTTGCAGTGTCTACAGACAATGACAGAACATACTTCTGTTGTGATGTCGGTTCTTTGCTGGGATCAGTTTCTTTTATCATGTTCACTGGACAAAACAATAAAGGTTTTGGCGCCCATATTTTATAATCAATGATGAAGGTTCATACTTTTTGTCTATCGCTATTTATTCTACTTATTCATGCAGGTGTGGGCTGCTACAGACAGTGGGAACTTGGAAGTAACTTACACACATAACGAAGAACATGTATGTTGTTCAAGCCTATTTTTCAGCTAGAGATGGGTTGCATATATAATATTCATTATTTTTTGTTAGACATATAGTTATCAAGTAATCTTATAGATACTTAGATTATGCGTATTGCATCTTGGAGCATTATTTGTCATTTAAAAATATTGTTTCGTAACAGTCCCATGTTTACAGATTGTGATAACTGAGGAAATTAAGGTGTTTTTTACTCAAATAAATGACAATGAGTTGATGACAGAGGAATTGGTACTTGGAGGTTCTTTTCACAATAACAACAGAGTAGGCATGGTAGATAATTAAGGATGATATTGAGCTCAGCTTGGTTATATGTTGGATTTAGGTGTTGTTTTCAGCATTGAGGTTTGCTTAGAACAATGATGTTTCTCTTTGTTACACGTTATTAGAGGGCCGTGGAGCAACGATGCTAATATTATTTCTTCAAGTATGTAAACAGTTTAATTATAAAGTTCAAGGGAAATGTTGTACACGAAGACCTCTCCTGCCGACTTTCACAAAGTAGAGGAACTATGGTGCACTTGTCACCTTTACCAATTGGGATTAAGCAAATTAGATTTGCATGAAAATGGTAGCAGAGGATTGTGAGGGGGATGGTTAGAAATTTACTTTTATCATTTTATATTAGCAGTCGAATTATCTTGTTTATACATAAGGTGCATTAATAGGGCTTTATTGTCATTACATGCTTCTAGGACGATTATCTTATTTGCCACATCATAAATCTGGAGAAGATCCTATAGATTTAACGAACCTTGGATCTTTGGTGAAGAACACTATGAAGTACCTTCAAATACCAAATCTTTTGGTAAAGTTACTTTTATAGTTTGGTATAAATTGCAAAACATAAAGAAGCTGTGAAGACTACCTAAGTGATGTAGATTTTTATGCGACAACAATTTATATGCGAATACAATTCTGTTATGTTTAATAACATATGTATGTTGTGAATAAATACATCATGCGTTGTTGATGGTTACCCATATCTTCATCATATATTTTGGAAGACATAACACACTTGAAGGGTGGAATTTTTGCTTTCTTACATTGTGCACCTCTAGTACTCACTAGGTACAAGTGTAGTATTTGAAGCTAGGATTTGAACTTATCCTAAGGAAGTCCTTTACTGCCCATGGAAGCCTAATGTTTATTATGATAATGGATCACCATCATTGTTCCTTTTTTAATTGTAGAACATATTTCTTAATTGGTAGCAATATGTTTTTAGGTGTAAATTCCATGATTGATAGACATTGATAAGTATAGAGTTCTGTTAGCTTTTGCTTTTTTCCCTCTTGCTTTCTTGTGCTTTTTCAAAGCATGTTTTTGTAACTTAGGGGATGTCCGATTCGTTTTTTAATCAAGACCTGTATGGATAAAGCTGTCTGTATTGATAAAGTTGTTTGTATGATAACAAATAAGTTGTTGTTCGGCTGTTGTGCTGAATAAATAGTCTGAATGTAAAAAATGACCGTTTTACCCCCAATATATATATATATATTGTTGAATAAAACAACTGTTTAATAAAAATGTTGAATAAATGGCTTTTAATTATTAAAAAAATATCAATTTAATTTTTTTTAAATAAAAACCAGTGTCAATATGTGTTTTTATGGAAACCCTTCAAATTTTACATTAACAACACCAACATTATGAGATCGAGGAGAAAACCCTCCTGCTTAACCAAATCGAGAACTTTATGAAATTGAGGAGAAAACCCTCCTGCTTAACGAGATCAAGGAGAGAACATGTAACCAGTAGTGTCAAACCCATATCGAGGAATGGAGAACGAGAGATGGAAAGAATGGAGATGGAAGGAGTGCATATCAAGAGATGGAAAATTTAATGGTTGAAGATGAGAAAATTAAATGGCTGGAGAACTAGAGATGGGAAGAATGGAGATGGAAAATTAAACGGAAAGAATAGAGATTGAAGGAGTATGCATATTGAGAGATGGAAAATTGAAGATGAGAAAATTAAATGGCTGGAGATCTAGAGATGGAAAGAATAGGGATGGAAAATTAAACAGAAAGAAGGGAGATGAAAGGATTGTAGATCGAGAGATGGAAAGAATGTAGATGGAAGGAGTGTAGATCGAGAGATGGAAAGAATGGAGATGGAAGGAGTGTAGAGGTTGAAGATGAGAGGTTGAAGGGTAGTTAGGGAATTAATGGAAAATTAAATGGCCAACTCTAAGGGAGTATGGGTTATCAATTGGGCGGTTAAGTCATGGGTTGACCGAATAAGCCACAACCGAACGACAATTTATGGCTGAGCGAATAAGCCATATAGGCTATACAACCCATTAATGGCCGAGTCTAAAGGAGTATGGGTTAATTTGTTCAATTACGTAGGGTTATTGTGGGTTCATAACTTTAGCTCTGCGATAATATCATTATTTGGGAAAAAAAAAGTCTCGGTGATGGAGTGGTGGTTGTTTATTTAAGAGGTGATGGGTGTACTAGCTACCTCAATCTTTAAGTCATGATAGATATTCGGGGCAATGAGTTGGGTGAGACCTTATTATTCCAAGTGGATGCTACTATAACTATGCTTATTACATAACATTTGATATCTCTCATCTAATTTGTTTACGTTCAAAATTGTTAATACTTGTTTCGTTGGAAGCAAAAGAATTGATATTTGTAGAAATCCCTGAATATTCGCCATGTCTGTAAAAAGTTTAATTTAGGAGCTTGTAAATCCTTTCTTTAATTTTAGGATTTTGATTCTCTAGAATCTTTTTTGATAGAGTTTTCTAGTTTTAGTTTTCCTCCTCTCCACTAAGTAAGGAGAAGATGTTTCCTTCTTGTATAAATACCTTGGTTGTGATCTCTTTCAATCTACAAGAGAATTCAACAACTCAATTTCTACATGGCATCATATCATACCTCTGGAACCTAGTTTTTTCTTTTAGCTGCAATCTATTTTTCTAGGTATCATCTAACCACCAACGGGGACTTCTGCCGACACCTCTACTTTAGGTTCGATTCTTCCTCATGTCACAAATCTTTCCCAAGTTCTTGATAGTTCTTCTCTTTCAGTCACTTGTCACAAACTCAACAGGCATACCTTCAATGGTTATTTTTGTTCTCATGCATGTTTCAAGGGGAGTACCACCCAAAGAATCAGATTCTTTTTATAGCCAATGGGAAGTCTGAAAACCATATGGAAATGCCTTGTCTAATGAATTCCATGCTATCCAAAAAAGGAGCGAGCTTTCATCTCTATCGAACGGTCCAAGAAATCTGGAAAGCAACCCTTAGGCAAACTTTTTGAACTCAAGCAAGGACATTCCAATGTTACACAATACTAGAACCAATCACAAGGTATTGGTATCATCTTGATATGTTTGAGGTATATTATTGGAAGTGTCCAAGTGATGCAACTCTCAACAAAGAAACTATTGAAAAAAAGAAAGAACATTCAGATTTTTAGTGGGTTTGAACAAAGAGCTCGATTAAGTTAAAAGCAAAATCACGAGCATCCAATCCATGAGGTTTTTTCTGCAATGTGAAGGGAGGAAAGCCGAAGAAGACTGATGATATTGGACTTTTCACTGCACTTAGATGGATTTGCCATGCTCGCTCATTCGACCTCTTCAAACAACAAAACTTGGAAGGGTATACCATGGTGTGATCACTGCCAACGACCAAGTTATCTTCGCGAAACTTGCTGGAAAATTCATGGAGGACATGCAAATTGGAAACTAGAAGTCGGGTTGATTAATGACGTGACCACGTGGCTGCAGACAATGAAGAAACGTCAAAGAATGTCGACACTAGAAAATGGCATTACTAGAGGAAATTAACGCTCATGAAGAAAAATGGACATGGACTCTTATATATTATCACATGAAGAAAGTTGTTGGATGCAAGTGGATTTTCACCATTATGTATAAGTGTGTAACTGAAATGAGAGTACTAACATATACAAGGATCGGTTGGTAGCCAAGGGGTTTACTCAGGCATAGGACATTAACTACTAGGAAACATTTGCTTCTGTTGCCAAAAGTAACACTGTAGGAGTCCTAATATCACTTCTTGTCAATTGTGATTGGCTTTTATACCACTTGGATGTAAAAAATGCAATTTTAAATGGGGAACTCAAAGAATTATATATGGAAATTCCATCATGAACAGATAAATCTTTTAAGTAGCCGAATGGTGTGCAAACTAATCAAATCCCTATATGACCTGAAGCAGTCACCTCGAGCATGGTCCCGTAAGTTTGCAAAGTCAAATGTCAAACGTACATATACTCAATGCCATGCCGTACCTTGTTTGTAAAGTTTTCTTGAAGAGGGAAGTCTACAATTCTCATCATCTATGTGGATGACCTAATCCTAACTGAAGACGATTAAGATGAAATCTCATTCCTAAAGAAACATCCGGCATCAGAGTCTGAGATCAAAGATGTAGGACCTCTCAAATATTTTTTGGGAATGGAGGTAGCTCGATCTAAAGGTGGAATTGTCATATCCCAACAATATTCTAGATATTCTAAAAGAAACCGGAATGCTTGGAAGCAAGCCTTTGGATACTCCAATGGATCCAAACTTGAAAGCTAATCCAGGTGGAGAATCAATTCCACTAGATAGGGGGAATTATCAAAGATTAGTAGGAAAACTGATATCTCTCTCCCATACTAGACATCTTTTTGAAAGAAAAAGAAGTCTAGTATGGGGGAGAGAAATCAGTTTTCCTACTACTCTTTGATATAGCCTTCTGTGTCAACATTGTAAGGCAACATGTGCATAATCCTTGTGAGGAATTTTCGATGTCAGTATTTTGCTTTCTACGCTACTTAAAAATGACACCAAGTCTCTATTTGCACTTCAGAAAGCATAATAACCGAGATTTAGAGTTCTGCACAGATGCTAATTGGCACAGCGAGTTAACGGAAAGACAATCGACCAACAACTACTATACCTACATGTGGGGTAGTTTGGTAGCATGGCATAGCAAAAAGCAATCCATGGTGTCAATGAGCAAGGCAAAATCATAATTATCGCATATTAGCTATAGGCATATGTGAATGGACGTTGATTAAAAAGGCTAGTGGATGAGTTAAAGGAAGAATTTTTTGAGTCTATAACAATGGACATTGTCAGTGAAGCTGTCATAAAAATCTCCAAGACAAATATTTCATATCCGAAAGGTGAACTTGAAAGTCATTCAACTCAACTTCATTCTTACAAAGAAGCAAATTGCAGACATCCTAACAAAGGCTCTACCAAGAACAAGTTTTGAAGAGTTTAATTCTAAGCTCGATTTGTCCAACATATACTTTTCAGCTTAAGGGAGTATAGAAATCCCTAAATAATTGCCTTGGCCCGTAAATGCTTATATTTTAGAGATCAGTATATCCTTTCTTTGATTTTTAGGATTTTGATTCTCTAGGATCTTCTTTGATAAGAGTTTCTTAGTTTTAGTTTTCCTCCACTAAACAAGGAGAAGATATGTACCCTGTCTTGTATAAATACCTTGGCTATGATCTCATGGAATATACAAGAAAAAACATCTCAATTTCTATGATAACTATATTGAAATATAAAGAATTCTTGAAATAAGGACATTTTGAACTGAAAAACTTGCATTTGTACAAGCTAATAAATGAGAGAAAAAGTCTTCTTCCCGAAAGCAAGTTAAGGAAAAAAATCAAATATGGTAGCTGCAATGCACAAAATCCAATTATGCAAGACGAAGGTAAGACAGAGTAGTCACGTGCCACTATTCTGGTGCTTTCGCGGTTTGTGATTGTTGACCGCCATAATATTGCAAAATCAGAGAGCCGCTATTTGCAGTATGAGTTGCTGCTATTGATTGTGATTTCGATTTCAAAATGTGGTGATAAAACACTATTTTAGTTTTGAGATTTTTAGTTATATTAGGTTTAGGCCGTTAGGGGATCGAAGTCCATTAAACCGAGTAGTAGAATTTACCAATAGCTAAGCATCGATTCATCAACTCGTTAGGCCATCATCGTTGTTGGGTCATTTCGATGTTCGGGATAGTCTACTTGTCATACTTGCTTCTTCTCTCTTGAAAGAGCAGATGGGTTGATTCTTCTTTTCTACTTCTCTTCTCTTCGTGACTTTTCATCCTCTTTCTTGATTGATGTGTGTGTGTGTGTGTGTGACTATACTACCTATTCTTTGTGGATTTTCACAAGTAATATCTGGGAATTACAATGCCATAAATAAAAAAATGGAAGTAAAATTGTCAAATATTAAGTACATATATTAAGATATTTGAGATTTTATTAATAACATTGTGATTTTAGATATCACTATCAGATATGTATTACATATATTAAGTACTTTATACATATAAATACTTGTTTATTACAAGAACCTGCTAATTTTTTTCAGTCATACCATCACACTGACTGCTATAGCATATAACTGAACTGATCATGATTCCTGTTTAGAATCCGATAACTTCTGAGATCACATGATTATAAAGACAATCTTGCTATTAGTTTCTCAATCTGTGCAAGAAAGCTAGTCTATCAAGCAACACACTTACACTTTTCTATTCTATTGTTTATCGAGAGTTAATTTGGTTGTATCATAAAGGATGGACACAAAATTTTTGAAGGACTTGTGTCTAATAAGTGGATCCAGATGTTTTTTGCTGATAATTGACATTAGTAGCTGAAAAACGCCATCTATGAGCAGGCTGTGGAACTCTAACATAGAGCGCCATATCTAATGGCATACGAGACATTGTCCAGATTACTAACGAGAACTTGTAGATCTGACAAGTGGTGCTTAGTGTGCTTCTTTGAAGAACATGAAAGAAGATGGCCACTGTGATTTGTTGTTCTTAAACCAAATCAAACCAACTGTACCCAGAATATCCCACTGGTGTGATTTGTTGTTCTTGAAACCTTGAATATGCTTCTAGGACATACGTGATACTTGGATATGGATCTAGACTTGCAGAAAGGCAGACTTCCCAATAATTTTTTTTCTGGGAACATGGTCAACCAGAAATTCTTTTTAATTTTTTTTTACCGCCAAAATGCGTGCTCAAAAATAAAATATTTGTGAAGGGTAGAGCCAAATACACTCACAGGCAAAAGATTGTGTGAGAAAAAAGAGTTAAGGTGAGAAGTGTAAAAAGAGATTTGAACCCTTGATCACTTTCACCCATGAATTGCGCTTCTTACGAGAATTGATCCGGTGCATCTCATTAGTGTCGATCTTCAATTAAGATTGATCAAGGGTCCAAATATCTTTTTACGTTTCTCACTGTAACTTTTCTTCTCACCGGAACCCAACCCTACACTCAATACATATAAAATTATTTGGAAGGTAGAGAGAGAGAGAGAGTCCAACTACAAGAAAGGCAGAGTGTGAAGCTTGTGGTCCGTTTTTTAGTTCACATGTTACAAAATATTGGAGGCTCTGGTCATCGTGTAGACCCCTTTTGCCAAGAGCCTACCAGACGACATAGGGTCTCAATGTTTATTAATTATAGGAGCCTCAACTGCCAATTATAGGACTACTATCCAGACTATGTCTTTGCATGCCCAACTAGTATGTCTTATGATGCCCTAATTTTGTTAGAAGATGCTTCATTTTCTTCAACTAGTATTGTTTTTGTTGTTAGTTTCTTCTATTTGTATGGAGGTATCTACTTATATGCATATAATCCATGTAGTTTAATGTCGTTTTTTACTCTATATAGGGCCTGCTCACTTTATGTGGGATGCATGATCTAGAATCGAAGCCAGTCTTGCTGTGCTCTTGCAATGACAACTCCGTTCGTGCATATGACCTGCCATCGTAAGTTTTTCAACATTGTTTCTTTTCGAAACCATTATTTTCATCTTTTCAGTCGGCCTAAATAAACTACCGTCTTTGGTTTTATGTTAGATTTGCGGAAAGGGGAAAGATATTTGCAAAACAAGAGATACGGTCCATCCATGGTGGTCCAAATATTTTCTTTACAGGCGATGGAACCGGAGAAGTGAAGGTTTGGCAATGGTTGGCTGATCAAACAGCTACGCCCGCTTGATGTTCGCTCAATCATTTGAGCGTTTTCCGTGTAATATTTAACTTTAAACACTGGGTGGCATATCGAGTTCTTTTTTCCATGTGGGTGTATCGTAATTATGGAGCCATGGTCGTAATTCACCACCTTGTAGTTGGTGGAATTAGTAGATTTTGTTGCTGCATATTGTAACATTTTGGACAATTCTTGTACTAGTAGAGGTGGTTGCATAATGGAAGTTTTCCAACTTAATTTTCATGAAATCACTTGTTCTCTATGGTAGCTTTTTTACACAGACATGATTGGACAAGACTGAACAAAACAAAAAGGCAGGACTGGACGGGACATAACAAATGTATGTCTGGTGTTTGATACGACTAGGACTGGACGAGACAGAACTAGACAAATTACCTTTAAAAGTTATTTGTTGAACGTCTTTATCAGAATATTTTTGCTTCTCACTTCGGGCAATTAGCAATAATTTGATTTTAAATTTTAAATAATAGTTATAATTAACACAAATAAAGTAAATAATTGAAGAATTTAATTTATAAATATTTTTACACAATTTTAATATATATATATATATATATATATATATATATATATATATATAGTTGGGTTCACATGAGACCAAAGCTTTTTAAGATCAATTTATGTTCATTAATCAACTTTATAAGCTAATGATCTAATGATCTAAAGTTGTACGGTGGCAATTTTGTGATTATTGAGAAGTCTCATGACAATTTTGTGATTATGAATTTTCAGATTGTAAATCTAATTCAAAGGTTGAGAATTAGTCTTACGGGTCTCACGAAAAACCCTTGGTCTTATATGATTCTAAGTATATATATATATATATATATATATATATATATATATATATAGGGCTGGGTTCACGTGAGACCAAGATATATATATATATATATATAGAGAGAGAGAGAGAGAGAGAGAGAGAGAGAGACTTGGGATCATGTGAGACCAATGGTTTTTCGTGAGACCCGTAAGACCAATTTATGTTCATTGATCAACTTTATAATCTAATAATCTAATGGTCTAAAGTTGCAAGGTTACAATTTTGTAATTATTGATAAGTATTGTGGCGTTTATGAATGTTTAGATCTGTCGATTGTAAATCTAATCCAATGGTTGAGAATTGGTCTTACGGGTCTTACGAAAAACCATTGGTCTCACATGATCCCAAGTCTCTCTCTCTCTCTCTCTCTCTCTCTCTATATATATATATATATATATATAAACATCTTATTTTAAATATAAAAAATCTAAAATGTAATTATAATTATCATTGAGTT